TTTTTATTTTTTAAATTTTGTTGTTATTTTACTTTTCATATTTCTTTGCATTTCTAGACTTCACAGAGACTTTACTTAAGACGTTGTTTTGATCGTTGGCTTTAGTTATTGTTTAAGTCTCGGTGCGTACAGATCGCGACTATATAAAGTTAGTTGGTTGTGAAAAATAAAAAAACTTAAATAAATTTTAAATTAATTGTTATTTAATTGAAAATCAAAATGAAATTTTTGATTTTATTGTGTGCCCTAGTGGGTGCCATAACAATTCAACAGACCTCGGCTGTGGGTAACACACATTTGGTCTGCTATTATGATGGCAGTTCATTCATTCGAGAAGGTAAAATAATGGTTTGTTTGGTTTTATTTTTTTTGAAATTAGAATAAAACTACTCGTTTACTCGTTTATTATTAAATTTAATTGCAAAACAAGGTTTTTTGCATATTAAATTGATTGGAATTCATTGTTTAACAAACAACAAGTGAAGGATTATATTTATTTTTGGATTGAGTTTAAAAATACAAAACAATTTGGTTAATTTATGGTGACGTGTTCATTGAAATTATTCTAGAATCATTTCATTTCAAATTTCAGTTTAATTTTATATTAAAATAAATGTGTTTCGCTCCCTCTGTACCAGGAAGATGTTAAAAAGGTTATCATTTGTCTTGTGTTTGCAGTGAGAGTAAAAACAAATAATACAAAAATACTTATAATCATCGTACGCTTTAAAACTTGGTACTTTTTTTAATTTCTGTTTTAAATTCCAAGAAATTATTTGTTTGTTTTTTTTTTCGGTGTGTGTTTATTTTGCATATGTTAATTTAATTATCAAATTGTGTTGTCGATTGTGTTTTAAGAGCAAACTATAAAAATAATATTTATTTATTTTTGTATTTAAGAAATAATATTTTAAAACAAAATACTAGTTTTTTTTAAACTTTAAGCCGGTTGTAAGGGCAAAACTTGTTTAGAAACAGATGATCGACTATACTTGATTGCTGATTATTTGGGTCATATAATCTAGGAAACATTAAATGAAAGAAAATGATTAATTATTGAAATTCCGGGAATATTGAAAATTATTAAATTTTTCATTTAGCAGTTTATGATAACATAGGTCAACAAATTTTTAACACAGAGTCCAAGATATACTTTCTTTACGGATTGAGCAGCACTGAATCCAAGTCTGGCTTCAGAATTTACATCAAGTTTTCCAGATATCGTGTATCGATAAAGTTTGTTAAAAACCCCGCTTTTGGCCATATTTGAGACGCTATAATAGCGCGAAGAAACCTTAATTTATAAAATTTGTTGTGTTGTCTAAAAGTCAAATCTATGGACTTTAAAATAAAGTTTTAAGCTCTGTTATATTTTCTTCCTATTTGAGATATCTTTACCTAAAGCTTGGAACAACCGTAAATTTACAAAAAATTTATTTTTTACTTCATTTCGCCTATATCGTATGAAAACTTATACATGTGTCAAAATTTGTTATAATTTTTCAATAAAAATACTTTTTAAATTGTTAGGGCTAGGTTGATAGGAGAATGTGTCTACATCAAATACACCAAGGCCACTATCGGGCCAGTTGTGCGCACCTTTTCTTGGAAAATTTTTGTTGGTAAAAACAAAAACCTTATATAGTATTCACTAGATGTATTATCGTCCGATGTTCAGAAACTCAGTTTCCTGGACGTAATTCCTAAGAATTTTCCAATCAGTGTTCGTGAAGGAATAATATCACTTTCAAGATATTTCGGCGAAAGCCTGACAATGGCAAAGAAAGTGCACGTCCAATTTTGTATACGTAGATGCCCATAATCCTGTGTATCCACTCAGAATACATACCATCATACTAACCTCAAACTTGTTCATTTTGAGGAGGCTTCTCGTCCTGCTCTCATTAGGACCACCCCATAGGATCTTTGTGGTTCTACCCACGCTTTTATTATTCCAGGAGGCCTTATGGGTTTCTCTCACCCATAATTTTAATTCTGCCCTCGTTGCGTCAAAGGGTTTTGCGTTCGTCAGGTTAACTACCTCGAGTTCCCTTCCCTTTAAAGCTATTACAATCGTTCTTTCATTGCCGACTACTCCCGAGTGGCTTCTTCCCATATGATGTCAACATTACCTCTGGGAAAGTATTCGGTTAGAGCTTTCTTACAATCCAATACGGTCTTAGATTTAATTCTATCACCTGATATCGCCCTAATTACCTTCTGGCTGTCGGTAAATATGTTAAGCCCTGTGGGCACCATATTTATACTAATCCAATTTACGCATTCCGTTATTGCTCGGACTTCTGCCTGGAAGCTAGTGTTGTGATTAGATAAAGGGTGATATATTTCTATAAAAACCCAGGCCAACTTAGTCCCCCTAACTTAGCCATCCGTGTAGCAACGAATTCCTACTGGTATTTGCTCTAAAGTTCCGCTTGACCAAGACATTCTATCTGAGACAAAAACAGTTCCCAGGGTGACAATTTCAAACAAAAATCATTTGTTTCTACAACAAAATACAACAAGTTCAGTTTAGAATTAGTTGTGATTATAATATAATTTTTCATCAAAATATTTTGCTCACATTGAAAACATGAGGACTTTAGAGGGAAGAAATTGTATATAAGTTTTGAAAATTTCATAAAATGTTTAAAACTTGTTTTATTCGGCTCCTAAAATTAATTTTTACAATTTTTAAAAAATTTAACAAAAATTAAAAACACAATACCATGGTTTTTTAGTACTTGAAATATTCGCAGGATTCTGAAAAATACATAATGTTAATTGATTTAACTAATAATTTCATAACATTATACTTTACTCTATATGGTTTTGAGTTTAATATTTGACCAATTGTTACTTTAGCTATAGTTCCAGTTATACAATCTCCAGTATGAGTAACATGATCACAATTGACATTTGTCTTTCTATAGGCAATATTCGTAAATTGTTTGCCAGCATTTATACCAGAATTACTTTTTATCGTTTGCACTTGAACTATTGCAAACGTTATCAATAGTAATGATAAATTTAATTTTAACATTTTAATAAATAAATAATATTAAATAATCTGTTTAACTACAACTTAGATCGCTTAATGATTTAATTATTTAAAGCTCAATATCTTTTATTATACATATAGATGGACTCTCATACCTATGACCAATCGTTTGTGACGTCTTTATATACACATGCATAAGTATCAGTTAATAACGTTAAAATAATGGTGGTTTTTCGAATTAAAAAATCGTTTTTATTTTTATATATCTAAATAAATTTTTTTTAAATAAGTTATGAAGGAAGAGCTTTATAGGGAAATCAAAGTTTGTAACTTAAACCTTAATTTATTATTAGTCCTAAAAGAGCTATTTCATAGCCGGCAATCGATTGGACATGTCGAAGCTATGGGGAATTTTTTATTCTTGTTTATAAGATTAAACACCTTTTTAATCTTCAACCAATTTTAAGAAGAAAATATATAGAAACTATAGCCTAAGCTGACAGTCAAAGTTAAATATTTACGCACGTACTTTTAATAATACTTAGACTAGACTATAGACTAGACTATAGACTAGACTATAGACTAGACTATAGACTAGACTATAGACTAGACTATAGACTAGACTATAGACTAGACTATAGACTAGACTATAGACTAGACTATAGACTAGACTATAGACTAGACTATAGACTAGACTATAGACTAGAGACTATAGACTAGACTATAGACTAGACTATAGACTACTAGACTATAGACTAGACTATAGGCTAGACTATAGGCTAGACTATAGCTAGACTATAGACTAGACTATAGACTAGACTATAGACTAGACTATAGACTAGACTATAGACTAGACTATAGACTAGACTATAGACTAGACTATAGACTAGACTATAGACTAGACTATAGAATAGACTATAGACTAGACTATAGACTAGACTATAGACTAGACTATAGACTAGACTATAGACTAGACTATAGACTAGACTATAGACTAGACTATAGACTAGACTATAGACTAGACTATAGACTAGACTATAGACTAGACTATAGACTAGACTATAGACTAGACTATAGACTTGACTATAGACTAGACTATAGACTAGACTATAGGCTAGACTATAGGCTAGACTATAGGCTAGACTATAGACTAGACTATAGACTAGACTATAGACTAGACTATAGACTAGACTATAGACTAGACTATAGACTAGACTATAGACTAGACTATAGACTAGACTATAGACTAGACTATAGACTAGACTATAGACTAGACTATAGAATAGACTATAGACTAGACTATAGACTAGACTATAGAATAGACTATAGACTAGACTATAGACTAGACTATAGACTAGACTATAGACTAGACTATAGACTAGACTATAGACTAGACTATAGACTAGACTATAGACTAGACTATAGACTAGACTATAGACTAGACTATAGACTAGACTATAGACTAGACTATAGACTAGACTATAGACTAGACTATAGACTAGACTATAGACTAGACTATAGACTAGACTATAGACTAGACTATAGACTAGACTATAGACTAGACTATAGACTAGACCATAGACTAGACTATAGACTAGACTATAGACTAGACTATAGACTAGACTATAGACTAGACTATAGACTAGACTATAGACTAGACTATAGACTAGACTATAGACTAGACTATAGACTAGACTATAGACTAGACTATAGACTAGACTATAGACTAGACTATAGACTAGACTATAGACTAGACTATAGACTAGACTATAGACTAGACTATAGACTAGACTATAGACTAGACTATAGACTAGACTATAGACTAGACTATAGACTAGACTATAGACTAGACTATAGACTAGACTATAGACTAGACTATAGACTAGACTATAGACTAGACTATAGACTAGACTATAGACTAGACTATAGACTAGACTATAGACTAGACTATAGACTAGACTATAGACTAGACTATACTATACACTAGACTAACTAAGTCTTTTATACGTTATTCGGAAAACATCAGCAAATCTCAATAACGCCAGTCATTGACCGACCAAATGATCGGAATTTCTTCTTATAAGTAAATCAATTAAAAATCCAACTGTTTAGTGGTCAGTCGTAAAAATGAGTCATATGATCACATATAAAAAGACATTTATCATTTGATAGCTTTAATCAAAAACACTATAGTAGTTGTAGCTAAACGGTCAAAGGAATAAATTATATTTTACAAGAACGACGGAGATTTACAAATCATTTATTATAAAATGTTTACAAATAATTTTATATTAATACTGGTAACATTAATATTGGTTTTGTATCAAATAGTGCATTCAATTGTCGGTGTAAAACTCATAGAACCTGTTATTAAATATATACCACCAAATTGTGAAAATTTAGATCATAATGGAAAATGTGTATTAGAAGCTACGAAACAGCATTTTGATATCACTAGTCTAAATCCGTATAGGGGGTAAAAACTAGGTAAGTTATTGTGTTAAATGAAAGATTTATTTAAATTTTAATTTCAATTTAATTATTTTGTTAGGTGAGCTGAGTTATCATCAACAATTTTAAAGTATTCTAAAAATAAAGTTACGATATAGAAGAACTATCACGATTAAATAATTTTATTTTAATTTTATTTAAACATGTGTAAATAAAGCAATTGCATTATTGTTTCAAGGCAGAACATTTTAAAATTTATACAACAATTTAAAATAAAAAAACTTGATTGACATTTATTTCCGTATTTTTTGTAAAATTGAAATTGTGTTCACACTTATAAAACTGAACGCGTTGTTTGTTTCCGATTATATGATATATAATTTCTTTTTTATCAAGTTCGGATTTCTGAAGTAGGATTTTGCATCTTTTTAGCATTTCTGATCAACGCAATTTGTTTCTTTCAAAAATGAAACAAAAATCGACATAACAAAACAAATTTGGTATATTTTTTAATTTCCCTAATATAAATGCTTTTTTTAATAAATACATATTAATTTCTGTTGTGAATACTAATTTATAAGTTAATCTGTTTCAATTAAATATAGCAGACAATTTATAATTTAACATGTACTGTACGTTTAATCTACACTAATCACTGCAAAGTATGACATAATATTGTTGACAGTAGTTCTACTACTATATAGCTTTCTACATATTATTAAGAACAAACTAATTTCAACTGAACCCATTATCAGTCCGTATGTCTGTCCATTAAGCTTTATATTAGTTCTACTTCCATGAATTTCAAACTTGTTTGCGGTTTTTTTTTCTCACTTTTAAATAGAATTGTTTAATTTTACACAATTGTGATCTTATGATCGCATTTGTAATTATTATCTACTACTTTACATTCTAAATGTGTTTCATAGTACACTTACTTGACTTTTTTCGAGAACGTGTTATGAATTTTATTTTCAATTTAAAATTACTGACAAATTTGTATTTTGATGATTGATATGAGTGTATTGAAACAATTAAATTATGACTAATATTTTGTGCTTAAATTGAATATTGATTTTGTTTTGGTAATTTTTTTAAACTTTTTGCTATTTTTTTTAGCAAAATTAAATGCAATTAGATTGTGATTGTATTGCAATCAATTAAGTTTAAAATGTATTATTTAGGTATATTTATAGTTTCCGTATAGTGGTTAGAATAAAATAGTTGTGAATAATTTGAAAAGTGGTTGTGGAACGATAATAGTTTCAGTACATTGATAGATAGATAGATAGATAGATATAGATAGATAGATAGATAGATAGATAGATAGATAGATAGATAGATAGATAGATAGATAGATAGATAGATAGATAGATAGATAGATAGATAGATAGATAGATAGATAGATAGATAGATAGATAGATAGATAGATAGATAGATAGATAGATAGATAGATAGATAGATAGATAGATAGATAGATAGATAGATAGATAGATAGATAGATAGATAGATAGATAGATAGATAGATAGATAGATAGATAGATAGATAGATAGATAGATAGATAGATAGATAGATAGATAGATAGATAGATAGATAGATAGATAGATAGATAGATAGATAGATAGATAGATAGATAGATAGATAGATAGATAGATAGATAGATAGATAGATAGATAGATAGATAGATAGATAGATAGATAGATAGATAGATAGATAGATAGATAGATAGATAGATAGATAGATAGATAGATAGATAGATAGATAGATAGATAGATAGATAGATAGATAGATAGATAGATAGATAGATAGATAGATAGATAGATAAAATAGTTTTAAGAAATATGTTTTTCTCCATCGTAGATATCCGTAAATAATGGAAATTTCAAATATATGTATCTCCATATTTTCGACAGTTCGATGATGAATCAATCGTTCAACTTTTTTATTTTAAATTAAGAAAAAAATTTTGTGCATAATAAATAAAAGTTTTTCACACTTATTTAAATTATAATTTTGGGTCATTCAAGTTAAGTGTCCAATTAAGGTTTTAAAAAGTATATGTGAATTTTCTCAGATTTTAAATAACACACTTAATTTGTTTACAACATATATTAAATGACGTCAACTGCTGTTATTTGATTTATAATTAACAACTTTTTACTTTTTTTTTAAATATTTCTAGGTCTTGCTAAGCTAACTCTAGTCGATTTGGAACCCGCTTTACAATTCTGTACCCACTTGGTTTATGGTTACGCCAGCATTAACCCCACCTCCAACAAATTGGTGGCCAAAAATGAGAAACTTGATTTGGATGTTGGTACCGGTTTGTATCGTACCATTACCGGTTTGAAGAAGAAATACCCCAGCTTGAAGGTATTATTGAGTGTTGGTGGTGATAAGGATGAGGTTGATAAGGATGACAACAAATACTTGACTCTCTTGGAATCCAGCAATGCTCGTATTCCCTTCATCAACAGTGCTCATTCTTTGGTTAAGACTTATGGTTTTGATGGTCTCGATATTGCCTGGCAATTCCCCAAGAACAAACCCAAGAAGGTGCACAACAGTGTGGGTAAATTCTGGAAGGGCTTTAAGAAAATCTTTACCGGTGATCATGTTGTTGATGAGAAGGCTGAGGAACATAAGGAACAATTTACTGCTTTGATCAGAGAATTGAAGAATGCTTTGCGTCCCGATGGCTACTTGTTGGGTGTTTCCGTATTGCCTAATGTTAACTCTTCATGTAAGTTTGATATTTTTGATGCACATTAAAATCTATTTATATTTTAATAATTATTAATTTTTTTTAGTGTTCTATGATGTTCCCGCCATTGTCAACAATTTGGATTATGTCAACCTTATGGCCTATGATTTCCAAACTCCTGATCGCAATCCCGAGGTGGCTGATTACCCTGCCCCTATTTATGAATTGAATGAACGTAATCCCGAATTCAATGTCAACTATCAAGTGCAATACTGGTTGAACAATCATTGCCCTGCCACCAAGATCAATGTTGGTATTGCCGCTTATGGCCGTGCCTGGAAAATGACTAAGGACTCCGGTCTTACCGGTTTGCCACCAGTACCCGATACCGATAAGGCTGCCCCCGCTGGTATACAAACCCAAATTGAAGGCCTTTTAAGCTGGCCTGAGGTCTGTGCTAAATTGCCCAACCCTGCCAACCAACACTTGAAGGGAGCTGATGCTCCTCTACGTAAAGTAGGTGATCCTACTAAACGTTTTGGCAACTATGCTTACCGTTCCGCCGATGACAATAACGAAAATGGCATGTGGGTCGGCTATGAAGATCCCGATACTGCTGCCAACAAGGCTGCTTATGTTAAAACCAAGGGCTTGGGCGGTGTTGCTTTGGTCGATTTGTCTTTTGATGATTTCCGTGGTGCCTGCACTGGTGATAAATATCCCATTCTACGTGCCATCAAATACAAATTGCAATAAGTTATTATCCTTGTTTTGTTTTAAGAAAAGTGAAGTTGTTTTTTAAATGTATTTTTTTTCCAATAAATTTAACAAAAAGAAAAAATCCTTGAAGAATCTTAACAAATCTTAAACAGCTTTAAAGTAAAGACTTCATTCACATACGGCATTATTAACTCCACAGAAATTGAGGTCCACCAACAAATGACTTCATGCTCATTTGTTACGAGTGAGAATAGAATTGAAGAAAAGGGAAGTATGATAAAATCATGAAATAAATAGTTTCCAAAGCACCACAAAGACATGCATGCCTAAAGGATTCCATGGACAAACACACATGTACAAATAATTATGTATGTATATGCACAACATCCGTTGCAGTGTCACATTGAGGTCACTTAGCAATTGTTTTATGGGTGACAAGACTTTCGTATGAAACAACTGGTAACTGATGATTCTACTCCCACACTCTAACACACACACACACATGCACTTACAATTTTGTTATGTGTATGTTTGTGATGCGGTTGCACTGATGACTCTATACTTTTTGAATTTTATTTTCATTGCCTAGATTATACACGATTCTTTGATTTTTAAGAGTCTTTTTGTTTTTTTTTTTGTCCTTCTTCTGTCCACATTTTGTTTTCTTCCTGTTTGGTATGATTTCAAAATTGCCAAAGCAACCACATGTTGGCATGCATGCATACATGTGACTTCCAGTCTATTACTAAACGAATAAGAGAGTTGTGTGGCAGAACGAAAAAAACTACACATTCATAGATTCTTTTTTCATTATCTCCCTTGGCCACCCAGAAAAATGAATTGTAATGAAGTTGGTCATGGAAACATGGTAAACATTTTATACTCCTTTTTTTGCAAATCGTAGGCATAACAATATTACATGAATCCTAAATTTTCTCTACTCCTCAGTCTCGCCAAACAAATGTACGCACAAAAATACACACAAACATGAAGTAGCCACTGGCATTTAATGGCAATCATGCCATCCATACTTTCATTTCCCAGGCTAGTCAGTTTTTGGAACAGGAGTTAAAAGGAGTTAAGTTATTTTATTATAGATTTAAAATCTATTTCAAAAAAGTGTTCAAAATCATTGAATATCGGAAGGCCCTACAGTCGCTATACACTATTTATAGCTTTTAATGGAATTTTGATAGAATGACCACTCAGATCGGCTAAGGACCGATCACGACGAAATTCTTTTAAACACTGCCCTATTCAGTGCGTATCAACAACAACATTATTATCCTGACAATTTTTAGTATGAATGTTTGATTGTATGCAATTTTCCATACATACACGCATTTATTGTTTGTCATCATCATTAACAATGAATGAATGACATTCTCATTGTCATCCTTTATCAACCAGCTTCCCACCCACATTACTAACATCATGATAGTGTGAAACACTGATAACTTAAGTGATAATGATATGGGATAATAATCCAACTGATGATGATGATGACGATGGTGAGCTGTTGTTTTGGTTAATAATGATCTTAAATTTTGTTAAACAGTACGCATAAAGTCCATTATTTAAACTTTGCATAAATAATAGTCAACTAAGTGGTCTTCATCCTTTATATTCAAAAGTTGCAAAGAATGAACTGCAGCTGAATAAAAGCCGTGACGGCTCATATTTGAAGTTTAAAATTTCAACTATGCATTATTTGACATAGATAAATATTACAAATTATGTATGTGTTCATGTGCGTAATAATAAGTATGCAGATTTAGTTAAAAGTCTAACAGGGAGTTACAGCAGGCGATGACATTTAGAGGCGGGATAATTTTCGATCTATTGAAAGTTTAAGTTAAATATTTTATATG